GAAAATCCCTTAGCTATCAATTTGGCTTTATATCTTTCAATAAGGCCATCAACTTTGGTTTTAATCTTGTATACTCACTAGCAACCAACAAAATGCTTAACAATAGGTAAGGGCACAAGTTCCCATGTCCCATTTTTATGTGGTGCATATAGTTCTTCATTCAGAATCTGCTATCAAAGAGGATCAAGAGCAGCCTCTTTACAGGAGGTAGGCTTAGACAAAGAGTGAATAAAAGATAAAACTAAACAAAAATTAGAAAAATAGCAAGTGTTAGAAAAACCAAAACAATTAGGACACTTATGAATGCGCTTACGATAACAAGAATAGAAAGGATTCACATTGTTAGAGGCCGATAAAGACGTAGCTGAAAAGGTGAAGAATTTGTTACTACATGGGAGTTAGTTTTGTTCCTCTTAAAGTGAGTGTAAATAATGGGGCATAGCTAGAGAATGAAACAAAGAACGAATATCATAAGGATCATTAGAATCACTAGAAGTATCATTAGTGACAATGTTAATATATATAAGGTCAGATTTACTAAAAGAGTTAGAAACAGAGGGAATGGAAAAGGAAAGAATATACCCTAGAAATACTACATGTATGGATACGTAAAATATTTTGGAAATAGGATCACAATAACAATATCCCTGTTATCTTTCACTCTAACCAAGAAAGATACACATAGCAGAACAGACAGAAAACTTTCAACTTTCAAAAAAGGTGTAAAAGTAGTACAATCAAAAACACGTAATGAAAAATAGTCAGGAGATTTCCCACATAACGGCTCAAAAGGCGAAACATCTGAAGTAATAATAGAGGGAGTCCAATTAATGAGATGAACAACGGGGAGAACAACCTGTCCCCAAAAAGAACTAGGAACTGACCCGGATAACAATAATGAGCTAGCATCTACATGATGTGTTTGTGTTTTCACTCGGCCACACCATTACATGATGTGTTCGTGAGTGTCTACACTAGAGGACTGTCGAATAGTACCATCAGATTTTAATGAGTCAAGAAAATGATTGTGTCTATATTCTCGCCCAAATCACAACAAAAATATTTAAAGTCTGAAGAATATTGTGTGTGAATCATACCACGAAAATAACAAAAATGGAGAAAAAATTAACTCGTTGTTTCAAGAGATAAATCCAACAATACGGAGTATAATTATCAAGAAAAGAAATATAATAACGAGACCCTGCATAACAGAAAGCACAAGACCAAAAAGAGGAGAATAAGTAGAACTATTCTTAAAAGATAAAGTTATGAGTTTCGCAAATTTGTAACCACTACAATCAGAAACATCGCAACTATTTAAATTACCTAATACATTTGTAGAAACTAAAAATTTCAAACCAGAACTAGAAATATGCCCAAGACAAGAATGCGATGTATAAAACTCAAATGACTTAAATGCAAAGAAGACAAGTCAATAAAAGAAACAGTCACAACTGGAACATACAGTTTCTCTAGCACAATAGTCCTCCAACTATGTGGCCTGTCCCATTGAATTTTGTAGAATGAGGATCTTGCACAATACAACCACCGGAGAAAAAGTGGGCAATGAAACTAAGATCACGAAATTGACTAACATAAATCAAGTTCAAAGATGATTGAAGAATAAAATAAATATCAAGAACGGATAAAAGTAAAGTCATAATAGATTCAATGCCTGACAATGACATTGGAGTGTCATTGGCAACCATAAAAGTGGTAGAGGAAGGAAGAGATGAGGAGTAGAAAGAAACAAAAATGAATTATTAGTCATAAGATGTGTCGCACCTAAATCAAATACCCAAGTGGAGCGAGATATATCTAAAAGAGTTGATGAAGACAAACAGATAGGAGAAGAAACAGGTAAAGCATCCATAGATGATGTTAATTGTTGAATTTTCACGGGCAATAATCATAAGTATAATGACAAAAATCAATATTAATGAAGGATGAAGTAGCTGAGAAAATTTTGGGGGTTGATTCGATAATGATAGAATTCTGTAATTTTTGAAAATTATGTTATTTCATAAAATTTTGGGACTACTTGTGTAATTGCAAAAAATTCTAGGTTGCTTTAGTAATTGCAGAAAATACTGGGGCTGCTTTTGTAATTTTAGAAAATTTTGGGGTTNTTTGTAGAAACTAAAAATTTCAAACCAGAACTAGAAATATGCCCAAGACAAGAATGCGATGTATAAAACTCAAATGACTTAAATGCAAAGAAGACAAGTCAATAAAAGAAACAGTCACAACTGGAACATACAGTTTCTCTAGCACAATAGTCCTCCAACTATGTGGCCTGTCCCATTGAATTTTGTAGAATGAGGATCTTGCACAATACAACCACCGGAGAAAAAGTGGGCAATGAAACTAAGATCACGAAATNATACAGTTTCTCTAGCACAATAGTCCTCCAACTATGTGGCCTGTCCCATTGAATTTCGTAGAATGAGGATCTTGCACAATACAACCACCGGAGAAAAAGTGGGCAATGAAACTAAGATCACGAAGTTGACTAACATAAATCAAGTTCAAAGATGATTGAAGAATAAAATAAATATCAAGAACGGATAAAAGTAAAGTCATAATAGATTCAATGCCTGACAATGACATTGGAGTGTCATTGGCAACCATAAAAGTGGTAGAGGAAGGAAGAGATGAGGAGTAGAAAGAAACAAAAATGAATTATTAGTCATAAGATGTGTTGCACCTAAATCAAATACCCAAGTGGAGCGAGATATATCTAAACGAGTTGATGAAGACAAACAGATAGGAGAAGAAACAGGTAAAGCATCCATAGATGATGTTAATTGTTGAATTTTCACGGGCAATAATCATAAGTATAATGACAAAAATCCATATTAATGAAGGATGAAGTAGCTGAGAAAATTTTGGGGGTTGATTCGATAATGATAGAATTCTGTAATTTTTGAAAATTATGTTATTTCATAAAATTTTGGGACTACTTGTGTAATTGCAAAAATTCTAGGTTGCTTTAGTAATTGCAGAAAATACTGGGGCTGCTTTTGTAATTTTAGAAAATTTTGGGGTTGATGAACTATAATTTAAAAATATTTTGGGGCTAATCTGTAATTTCAGAACATTTAACAAAACACAATCTGCGGCCACAAGTCAAAAAAAAAAAACAAAAACCTAGCTGCAGCTCACTGTTCCAACATTGTTCAAGCACTTTTCAGACACTATTCACACATTGTTCATACCACTGTTCACTGACTTTCATCTACTGTTAAACCTTCATTGGCAAAACAACTAAGACATTCCACAGATCTCTTCAAGAGACAAGGTAAGAACTTTGCCAAAGTAGCGATTCGAACAAAGTACAAGTAGTTGCGGTGGCGACTTCGACAAACTTTGGAAGAATGAAGCTCACAACAAATCAACACTTGACTATGAAGAAAAGGTGAATGCAAAAGTACCAAATTTTGCCCTAATATTGTGAAAACACAGATCAACTATTGCAAAGAAAAGAAACCACATGTAGAGAGGACAAAAAAGAAATTATATCTAGCACTCTAATATTCCATCATAATGAAAAGTGAGTACAATAAACAATATATAAGGAACCCTACAATAAGAAAATATTAGACTACCCTTAATGATAACTATAAACAACTACAATCTTAACAAGAGCATCTAACTCAAAGTCAACCTTGGATGGTCTTAATCATTTGATGTGGGATACAACTTCTAGGAGTGTAAAAATATGGATCGAACTTGAAGCAATGTGACCTTGGGGGGATGAATATGTTTTATGCTCTCAAACGCAAAATTATCTTCAAATAAAACCACATTGACAAATTAAACCCCTTTGTGATAAATACTTTTAACCTAATTATTGAATGTGTATGTCAAGTTAATACAATTAACACAAATCCACTAACCTTGTCACTCTAATTCCTTCCACCAATTTACAAAGATTTATGCAAATTGAATGTCAAAATTTCTTTTGTGTAGTTGCCATCATCCAAGCACAAAAAACTATAGGACCAATCTTAGCTCACCTAGCCTAATCTACTAGTTTCAAACTTAGATTTCAAGTTCAAGGACTTATACCTCAACCAATTCCATAGCTATTCTTCTCCCTTGAATCTTCAGTCTGGAAATTCACTGCAAGCATCTTGACAACTAACTTCAATAGGCAACGGACCCAACTCCACAATCCATTCTTGGAATCCCCCATTGATAAATCCTCTTGGAATTCAATGTTGATCTTGAAGGAATTGCGTTTTGAACTTATCTGGGTTGTGTTCCCTCTTGAATAGATAGCTCTCTTAAACCCTAGAGTCTTTTCTCCAACTCCTTTGAACTTCTATTAGGCCATATCATATATTTATTGGAATACAAAATAAGAGGTAGATTGGTATTCAAGTAATTTTGTTCATGATGAAACGCTCGATCTTTGTGGAGAGCGGTTAGAGAGCACTACTAGAAAGCAATCTGGTACCCAACCCTTGGGCAGCCCTCGAGCGGTATGGCGAGTGTTGGTATCTGGAATTGTAATTCCATACCCTGCTCAATTTCCCAAGTCCGGAGAGCGCTATCTGGTGGTTTTCTCGAAAAACCAAGGCTTTAAGTTAACTTTCTAAGTACCAGCAGGTGTACCTAGAAAGCATCCAATGTCTCAAGTCAAAATCCGTTTTCGAAAACTAAATCCCTAAAGTTTCAAAAACATTTTACACCAAAAACACACAAGTCATGAACATTTCAAATACTCACTCTAAATCCAATTTTACAACACAGGTTAAACCAAACTTAGTCAACTAGGTATCTAGATCAACTTATCTCACCTAAGCTTGATAAGATCCGAGAAGTCTTCAATGTATTGCTTTGTAGCTTGAGCTTCTTCACCATATTTTACTTCAGTCTTCTATCTTCAGTAGTCTCTTGAGCATGGATTTAGTTTAGATATAAGATACATAGTGATCTCATGGAATTTGTCAATTACAATATTTTTCCTAACTCTCTCTCTTTACCCCATGATCAGCTGGGACATACACATCTGTGGGCATGATGAGGCTTATTTTGATAGCCAGCAACTCTTGATGGACCATGCTCCCTGTTGAATCGATAATACCAACCATGATAATTAATTTGCAGTTATTCCCAATAATAAAGCCCACCAATGCCTCCGCAAGCAAACCATGACAAATCAGGCAGGGATAGATGTCCTTATGAAGGAAGATTACCATTATAGTAGGTGATGGAGGGGAGGCTCAAAAGTGTACTGGCTGCCCTAAACTTCAAGAATCTTACGATGGTGAGCGGTTCAACATTTTGGATATCTCCGTGCGAACATACTAGTCTATCCTCAATGAATTGTCTTTGGGAACTCTTGAAAATCCTTTTTTTTCAGCTCAGCCAAGATGGTCCACTGCACTGCCAACAAAAGCTTGCGAATAAACCAACATAAATCCTTCCTCCCAGAATGGGTCCACAACCATTTTAAAGTGTGCTTCCGATAGCTCAAATGAGTTGCTCAACTAGTTCAATCTAATAACTGTAGTGAAATCGATAGTGAGTTGATTCTTCAATTTAATAACACAACGCACATCTGGTAGTAAGAGTGCAGTAGTTATGCAATTAAACAAGGCCATGCCCTAGAGTCACAACACACATATTAGTGGTTTAGACACACGTCACACATAAAAAATTGTGTATGTGCAATAATCAAGGCATTATTAGGCTTGCTTCCTCTCTTTCTTTGGCCTTTGGTCCAGATTTCTGTTTTGATTCTATAGGCAGCCGCACAGCCTATGCCATTTTTTGCTTACGGATTCTCTACAAAACCTAGGCCCACAACAATTTGTAACAGAATCTAGTGGTTTAATTGCACACTTGTTCAGCAATATGACCATCACCAAGCAAGGAATTGTTTCCAATTTCACTACAACATTTTACAATCTTCATTTAATTGTCATATTGCTACAGTTCTTGTATTTGCCATTTTCTTCAGATATTCTCATTGTGGGCTGTCAGTCCAAGGAATTTTGGAGGATTGAGCTATACAACTTCAGACGTTGGTGAAGTTCTTGCTATTACAGGTATTATTAGTGCTTATGTCCTATGCAAGGATCGAAATATCGTTTTGGTGTATTGTTTTAGTCACATAGGAAATGGAAACGTTTTGACCCGTTTCGAAAACATAATGAAAAAAATAAAAAATTTAAGAATTATTTTTCTAAAACATTGATGGAAATATATCAAAGTATCTTGAAATATCTTGAAACATTCTAAAAACAATTGTGCAAATGCATTGAAATAATATAATAAATTTAACATTATAAAATACCTCGAAATATCATAATTTTGATTCCATTACTGTTTCGTTTTGATTTCCTTGGAAACGGAAACGTTTCGGACATTTCGAAACNTAATTTTGATTCCATTACTGTTTCGTTTTGATTTCCTTGGAAACGGAAACGTTTCGAACGTTTCGAAGCGATATTTTGATCCTTGGTCCTATGCAATGTCCAATATTTTTCTCTACACAAAGTCCATCATTTTCTTTATGTGAGGGGAGCTTCCATCACATATGAAATGAGTAGGACGACTTTAGATTGATTCATACGATTGGGAGGCCTCTTTGCCTATTGCCAATTGGTTTTTGAGAGAATGCTTTAGCATAATATCAGCATTTGGAAATTTCTCACCTAGATGAATTACTGAATTTGTTTGTTAGTTTGTTTCGATTTGGTCTGTTATAATGTGTGTGATCCCAGGCCCACATGGTGAAGAGTGTATGAGCACTTGCATATAAAAATATTAGGACCCCCCAAGGTTGGTTTATATGGTTGAGGGCCTTTTTGCTCATTGTCAATTATTTTTGGGTTGGATGCTTTAGCATTTAATTGTACACAAGTAACCTTCAGTTCTATAATAGATTATTACTTGCTTGTTGAACTTCATGTGCATGATTTCTTTAAAGGTTGGTCCCAAACTGAATTTAAGTTGCTCCATTATGTGGCATGGTTCTAGAAAATGAAAGTACTGAGTTTGTCTGCGGAACATTCAGACATTTACAGCAAAGACAGCAGGAGTTTGTGAAATTATTATTTTTTTATTACTTGTGCCTGGTAATATATCCAAATAACTGTAAATTTCTCTATTTCAATGTTATTTTTATAAAATTACGTCAGTATTTGAAAATCTGTGACATTCTTGTTTGAATTTTAGCACTAATCTACACCTGTAGATGCAAAATGGATTTATTTTCTTGGCACCTACTTGCATCATTTGATACATATATTGACGACATTGAATTTCTGATATCCTTTTACAATGCACTAGGCTTTGCTCTGTTACTCTTTCAGTTATTTCTGTACCCGTTAGTTGAGAAAATTCTTGGGCCCGTCATGGTTTCTCGAATTGGAGCTGTATGTGTCTAACAGAGCTTTGTTATTCAATATTCCAGCTTATAATTCTTTTGTTCCTGTACTAATTCTTACTATTCTGCTTCAAGGTTTTAACCATTCCGTTGCTGTCAAGTTACCCATATATAGCAATGTTATCTGGCCTCTGCCTCTTCTTGGTGCTTAATTGTGCATCTGCATTGAAAAATGTATTTTCTGTAAGTGTGTACTTGGACTCAACTTTTTTTGCTGTGCTATTGATGGTAATTACTAGGTAACTTTGGCTTTTTCTTTTCTTTTTTTTTTTGGGTGGGGGAGCTGTTACTTCAAGTCTGATTCTAGAGGGATTAATCCAATTCTTTTTCTTTGGGACAATACTTGTCTCTTAATCAACTCAAACCCAATGATTGTTGTTCTAACTTCTCCAAAACTCAATTCAGCACTTCAAATTGTTTATTGTAGCATAACTGATGTTTCTCTGGCATGATGCTTTTTGCGTTATTAGGTGTCCATTACAACAGGATTGTTCCTTCTGCAAAATAGAGCTGTGGTACACATCCCCTCTTCTTAGACATAAATATTCTCCCCCTTATTTTTCTCCATAACTGGTAGAAATTTAGGCTAATAGACTATTATTGATTGGAAGCTGATTTGAATTTAACTTTAGTCTCAAGAACGGAGAGGCGCTGCAAATGGCATTTCTATGTCTGCTCAGTCTCTGTTCAAAGCCATTGGTCCAGTTGCTGGAGGTTCACTGTAAGTTTTTTCCCAAATAATTGTACTTCAAATTAAAGTTTTGTGATGCTATACAGGGTTCACAAATAACATTGAGTTGGTCATTACACTTCTTTGATTTTATTACATCATAACAAAGTGTAAGAAATCATCTTGATTTCGGAGTTAGAATACTACATGATGTTTCTAGACAAAGAAGGGAGCAAAATCAGACTTGTTGGGATCATACTAGTAAGACTTGGTAAGTGGACCTGCGGACCTTAGTTGGCCTTTGTGGTTAAGTAGGTTAATTGGACTTGATTAAGTAGGTTGATCACATCTCTTTATTTGCGATTCCTAGTAGGTTAATTAAGTAGCTAATTTGACTACCTTAGGCATATGTTTTGACTAGTGGCTATGTATTTTCTTGAATATCAAGCATCTAGTTGATGATTGTTCATGAGTGATATACCCTAGTCACCATTAGACTTTAGAGAAAGGAGTTTCTAAAACTCAAAATTAGTTCAGCTGATTCCCTTGAAGATTCGCAGTGGAGTTTCAAGGATTGAAGAGACCTTTGGTGCTTTCTGTTTAGAACTTGTTCAGGAACGATAGGAGAGTAGGAGCATGATCTAAACCCATCGTTTTCACAGCATTAGACACTTGTGGACGTCACTGGTGCGATGTAGTGAAAGTCAAGACAATAGAAAAGCTTCAGTCCGAGTGTTTCGCAGGTGGTGTTAGTCTTTTGATTCTTGGACTGCTCGGTTCACATAGTGAAGAGTTTAGACTGGACTATGTTTTGTAGTTTTTCCCTTGTTTAGGTTTCCACATAAAAATCAATTGTGTTGATTCTACTCACAATTGCCTATGGCTTGTATTGAATTTAGTCTTAGAATTTTTAATTCAATATTTGTTTTTATAGAAATTACTTCACATCCTCTAGGCATGTAGCTGAAGAATTAGACACCGTTCTTGAAATTTCATCTTCTTCGGGGGACTTCCTGTGTAGATTTTTCTTTGAGTTTAATTGATAACAATTTTTTCAATTTTTTGAGCCTTTAAGATGATTTGGAAATCCCATATACTTCAAGTTTTTGCTTTACTCCTTGCACTTAAGAAGCTTTATACCAAAGATATGACCCCCGATAGGCGGCCATTCTCTTCTCCTTCCTTATTGGTTTTTTTTTTTGTTTTGTAAAAGTGTTGAGGACACTATGGATCATTTGTCCTTGCATGGCCTGATCGTTTCAAGTTTGTGGAATAAATTGTTGATGATAGAAGGAAGTCCATGGGTGACTCCACAGTCTTGCGAATCGATGGATATAATTGATTTATGGGGTTTTGGTAAAAGTAGAATTTGCAGATATGCAATTTTGGCACTTATGTGGGTAGTGGGGTTAGGTAGAATTAGAAGGATCTTTGATGACAGGAAACATTCATTGGAAGAACTATGAGACAATTTTGTTTTCGACATCTAAAGAATTCGAGGGGATTTCTTTATTTTTGATAAAGGATAACAGGTGTAAGCATTATTCTAAGTCACAATATTGATCATCCAGTCAGATAGTAGTATTGATACACATTGGTCGCAACGTTGTAACGCGGTATTGACAGGTGCGCACAAATAGCTAGATAGAAGGGCACAAATAGCTAGATAGAAGGTCAAAAAAATCATGAAAAATTCTAGAAAATGTAAACAATATTCATGTATCCTATATNAGAAGGATCTTTGATGACAGGAAACATTCATTGGAAGAACTATGAGACAATTTTGTTTTCGACATCTAAAGAATTCGAGGGGATTTCTTTATTTTTGATAAAGGATAACAGGTGTAAGCATTATTCTAAGTCACAATATTGATCATCCAGTCAGATAGTAGAATTGATACACATTGGTCGCAACGTTGTAACGCGGTATTGACAGGTGCGCACAAATAGCTAGATAGAAGGTCAAAAAAATCATGAAAATTTCTAGAAAATGTAAACAACATTCATGTATCCTATGTTCGAAGTACAACATCTAAAAATTAAATATATTGAAAATGAAATGTGAGGACTCTACGTTCAAAAATTTGGAGGAATAATTTGTTTCTATTTTAAATTTTCTTTAAATTTTTAAATTTTTTGAAATTAAAAAATGCAAAAAAATTAAATTATTATCTAAATCTAAAATAATTTCAATATGTAATTATAAGTATTCAAAAAATAGACTTAGCAAAAAACTATGTTGCTTCATGTAATTTGTATGGTGGTATCTTATAAATTTCATTAAAAAAAATTTGTNAAAAATTAAATATATTGAAAATGAAATGTGAGGACTCTACGTTCAAAAATTTGGAGGAATAATTTGTTTCTATTTTAAATTTTCTTTAAATTTTTAAATTTTTTGAAATTAAAAAATGCAAAAAAATTAAATTATTATCTAAATCTAAAATAATTTCAATATGTAATTATAAGTATTCAAAAAATAGACTTAGCAAAAAACTATGTTGATTCATGTAATTTGTATGGTGGTATCTTATAAATTTCATTAAAAAAATTTTNTTTCATTATTACTCCATAGAAGTGTAGCAATTGTGTAAATATAAAGAGTTATAGTACAACAGTACATATGCTTTGAAGTTGGCTTCTTCGGTACCGCAAGTGAGTACAATCTATTTAAAGTGGGTNCTAAAACGTGTAACCACATTCTGTTTTTAACTATGTCAAGTAGTAAGATTATCACCAATAAATGTGTAACAACTAGAAATAAATCCTCTATCACTATAACTACCTAGCCAATTTGCATCAGAAAAATCAATAACAGTTATGGATGATGATAGACGATATAATATTCCTTTCCCAGAGCCCCTTTCAAATACGTATATCATTTACACCTTGATGATCAACTTCATTTCATTATTACTCCATAGAAGTGTAGCAATTGTGTAAATATAAAGAGTTATAGTATAACAGTACATATGCTTTGAAGCTGGCTTCTTCGGTACCGCAAGTGAGTACAATCTATTTAAAGTGGGTGGGTGTTCTTTAACATCTGTTGCATGCATGTTTGAGTCTTGACTCGCTATGTAGATGTCAAGGTAGTAAGCAAATGATGTTATCTTATGGTCAAGGCTTTCTAGATGAGTAACTTTCAATTTCTTTTGCCTGTTCTAGGATCGAAATGAATTCCTACCTATTCCATAAGTGATGTTTCCTTTTTTTTTTTAGCCCCGTATCTAAGTCGTATCCGACTTCAAAAAATCATTGTTCACTGTTCAGGACACATGTAAAAGTGTCGGACACGTGTCAGACACTGTCACGTTGACCTCCGAAGAAGTGTCCGTATTTCCTAGATTTCAATATGTTTGGTCCGCTTATGAAACACTAGATTGACAACAATATGAAGAGCTTCTTAATTATCATATAACGACTGTAAAGAAAGTTGAACTGGAAAATTAATTTCCTGAAGAAAGTGTAGCAAACCATGTTAACTCATTAGTTGTACGTGTCATTGCTCTATATTCAGCCTCAGCACTGGATCGTGCTACCATTGTTTGTTTCTTACTTTTTTANTGACCTCCGAAGAAGTGTCCGTATTTCCTAGATTTCAATATGTTTGGTCCGCTTATAAAACACTAGATTGACAACAATATGAAGAGCTGCTTAATTATCATATAACGACTGTAAAGAAAGTTGAACTGGAAAATCAATTTCCTGAAGAAAGTGTAGCAAATCATGTTAACTCATTAGTTGTACGTGTCATTGCTCTATATTCAGCCTCAGCATTGGATCGTGCTACCATTGTTTGTTTCTTACTTTTTCATGTAACAACGTTGCCTCCAAGAAAATATAATAGTCATTAGTTGATATTCGAGCAGAGGGAGAACTAGCCTAATCAGTATATGAAAAATCTTCCACTCTGAGATGTCCATTTGCCAAATATAACAACCCCAGTCTAGGAGCACGTTTGAGGTATCGGAGCATTCGAATGACTGCATCCCAGTGTGGTACTCTAAGGCATTCTATAAACTGACTCACAACACTAACTACGTATACAATATCGGGCCGAGTAATTGTGAGATAATTTAGATTCTCAACCAACCTGCAGTACGGACCTGAATTTTCAAACAATGCACCATCATCCATTAACAGTTTTTAATTCGAATCCATCGAAACATCAATTAGTCTACCACCCGGCAAACCTATTTCCTTTAACATGTCAAGTACATATTTTCTTTGAGACAAATAAAGGTACTACTTAGATCTGGCAACTTCAATACACAAAGTTTTCCCAAATCCTTAGTATAAAATTGATCATGCAAGAAATTTTTTAACTTGACATTACCCTTAGAATCATTACAAGTAATTATAATACTATCCACATAAACAACCAATAGAATGTATCTGGTATCAGTTTGTCTGTGAAAAATAGAGTGGTATGTNAAATTGATCATGCAAGAAATTTTTTAACTTGACATTACCCTTAGAATCATTACAAGTAATTATAATACTATCCACATAAACAACCAATAGAATGTATCTGGTATCAATTTGTATGTGAAAAATAGAGTGGTCTATNTTTTTTAACTTGACATTACCCTTAGAATCATTACAAGTAATTATAATACTATCCACATAAACAACCAATAGAATGTATCTGGTATCAGTTTGTCTGTGAAAAATAGAGTGGTATGTTTGACACCAAAGACCAAACTCTAAAACTACCTCTAAAAACTTATCAAACTATGTTTGCGGTGTACCATACAAAGATTTCTTTAGTCGGCACATACTCTGACGATACTCCCCATTAGCAGCAAACCCATGGCTAGTCCATGTAGACTTCCTTAGTCAAGTCACCATGTAAGAAGACATTTTTGACATCTAACTGAAACAAGGGTCAGTTAAGATTAGCCACCAAAGAGATCAGTACACAGATAGAGGCAAGTTTAGCAACAGGAGAAAAAATTTTCTCATAACCAACACCATGTAAAGACCTTAGCAACCAAGAAGTTTTGGGATGCTCAACAAAACCAATGGGATTAAATTTAANATTTTTGACAT